TACTACACACACACACACACACACACACACATATATATATATATATATATATATATATATGCACATAGGTGAGTAGAGATCTCAGTATTATCCTAGTGTCAATAATACTATTGATGCCCAACGGCACGTGCCCCGCGCCTTTACATGGCGTACTGACGGGTCCAATCCATCGCTGTTTTGTTAAATGCGTTGCGGTCCGACTTGTACTGTCGGGCAATGTCGGGGACAAGCGGGTCGTCGGGGTTCGGGTCAGTCAGCAGCGAGCAGACTGAGAGCAGCACCTTTGAGATGGTCAGGGCGGGCGACCACTGGTCCTTCAGAATGTCGAGGCAGATGCCGCCGTTGTTGTTGATGTTCGGGTGGTAAATCTTCGTCGTAAACTGCAGCTTCGGCGGCTTGAACGGGTAGTCAGAGGGAAAATGGATATTAAGAAAGAAGAGCCCACCGGCGTACGGCGAGTCCTCTGGCCCTATGATGGTCGCCTTCCAGTTAAACAGGTCATTCTCGCTGATGGGGCCGCCACTGGTGTTTGCTGGGGGATCGCGTTCAAGATCTTTCAGCTCCTTTTGGATGCGTCGAAGCGCCATGGATTTTTTTTCCCGTTTTTTTCTTATTGTTAGTCCTTGTCTTGTTTTTCCTGCTGACCCACGGAGAGGGAGAGAGAGAGGCACAGACACACAAAGGGAGAAATGTACATAAACATGTATGGTACATACGCAACGCACGTCGGTTAAGGAGGCAGTAGGGGAGGAGAAACAGAGGAGAAGAGAGAAAAGGGACCTGGGGAGGAGGCGTGGAGCACGCCCCGCAGACATACATGGCCACAGAGACAGCCACACTGATCCAGAGGAGGGGAGAAAGAAAAAGATCTATCAGGCCTAAAAATACAGGCTCATCTGTAAGCAAACCACTACCGATGTTTGCTTTTGTGTTGTTGGTTTATTCGTTGTCCAATCGCAATCGCTCTCTTCTTCTGCACGTGTGGTGCCAGAACCCTACAGCCCCGCACGTGTGGAGTACAATCTTCGCCACACGTCGGTGTCAGCAGTGTTATAGCGTCACTCGCCGGCACATGCAACTGCAGCTGCGGGGAAGAAGAAGAGATCGCTTCATTCCTTTCTGGCCCTCTCCGTCACACGGCACCACCCATAACTTTTTAAAAAAGAAAGCACTCGAATGCCGCCACCGTGTGCCAGCAACAAGTCAAAAACAACAACAACAACGTGCTGGCGCAGAGCTTCCCTCACTCTCTATCCCTCCCTCCCCCTCTCCCTGCGAGGCACCGAACCCAGTACCATAGCAAGGTGGTCCACGGCCTCGCTAGATACGTAGCGATGTAGGCAGCAAGGCGTACAGAAGAAAACCAAAGCCACAAAATATATAAATATACAAATAAAAACCAAGACGCAATCAATACAAAAATGTTAATGGCATCAAAAAGTAAAGAAATAAACTAAAGAGTAATGCACATAACACGCACACACGCACGTATTTTATGTACGTATATGTGTGTATAGATATGGATATGCACATCTCGCTTTGGTACGTGAGTATTCTTAGAACACGGATGGAAAGTCCACATGAAAGCTAGTGCGAAATGGATCCCACAGACCCCGCCTTTTCTCCAATGTCCTCCCCCCAGACGCCGGTACGGGACTCGTCCTTCACGGCAGCCGTGACGGTGACAATGTCTTTACCAACCTCTTTCTGGCAAAGCACGACGGATGTCACGTCCATGCTGACGCTGCTGTGCACAGTCCCTGTGATGGACTCGGCGGCGGCGAGTGTCACCGTGGTCATCCCCTTGCGGTCGCGAATAAGGCCGTCGGTGTAACCGATTGACAGCGTCACGATAACGCAGTCCGCCTTGGTGGGAGTCAAACCGTAGCCCACACCCTCGCACCGCCTCACAGGGAAGTGGTGTGGGGGACCTTAGTGTAGAAGCAACTCGCAGGCCTCACAGCCCATAACTGCCTGCTGGTGACGCTGCACGGGCCGTACAGCATAAGCCCCGGGCGCACGTACGTCTCCTCCAGACCAATCCTCTGCCCCACGGCGCCTGAGTTGATCAGATTCGGCCCGAACCTCCACCCCAGTATCGCACAGGAACTGGTTTGCCTTTTTTAAAGGCATCGCCGTGGGATTGCGTCTCGGTGAGCCGCTCCGCTGCCGCCGCCACTCTGAAGTGCTGCAGCAGGTGATCCACCCCGCCCCGTTGCCTTGGCAGCGGCACGAGTTCCTCCAACTCGTCCAGGTGAACCACCCACCCCCCCCCATGCGGTTCATCCCGGTATTAAGCTTCAAGCACTGTTTTTTTTTTGTTGTTGAATGCAGTGGCGGCGCAAAATGCTTTGAGTTGTAAAACGGTGGTCAAAATGGGCGTGAGCCGCGCTGCCGAACGCTCACCTGGCTGGTACTAGCTCTGGCACCCCTCGTTCATCGTCTGGGTGTCAGAGAACCGAAAATCTCACTGCTGGCATTCGCTGAGATGCACGGCTGACATGCACGCAAGACAAGCGCCTCGCCCGGTGGGGCCACACTGAAGTTGTATATTCCATACCTCTTGTAGAGATGCTGGGAGACGGCCTCAATGCCGTGCCCGTAGGCGTTGCCCTTCACTATGGCGATAAGCGCCGCCTCGCCGCCGCTGCGCCTCATTTACGCTGCGCAACTCATCGTGCCTGCGGCAGAGCGCACACAACTCCGTCCGAAAAGCCTCCTCTTGTTGCCTAATTGCGAGTTTCTCCTCTTCTCACCTCTCCAAGCACGCTGCCGCAAGTGCCCCATTGGGAAGCGCATTTGCGTCGGCACCTTTGCCGTCCACCATTCCTTCTGACACGTTCTCCAGCAAAACGGTGGGGACACGATCTGTGCTGCTCGCCTGCCATTACTGAGTGCGACTCGCCAAGACGCGTTGTTGTGCACTCTCCTTCTTCAGCAGCTTGCTTTGCGAGGCGTCCAACTCAGTTGCCAGCTGTGCCACATCGTGGCTTTGTTAGGTTTCCACCTCCTCTATGGAGGAGCGTAATTCCAGCACATGGTTTCACAAATCCTGTATTCCCGCGTCCCCATTGAGCTCGTGCTGTAGCTCGTACTTCGCCTGCTGCGCGCCAGCCAAAACTGTATGGTACCCAGCCCCCATCTCCCCTGGGATCTTGTTCCGCATGCCGCGTAGCACTCGCTTCGGCCTCCGCAAGTTGCAGTCGCAGCCGCTCAATGGTGACTTCCTGGTCCTTGAGGACCCGCAGTTCGACATCCAGCGCGTGAACTTCTGCCTCCGGCACCTCGCACGCCTCAACCTTCTCCACATCCTCCAACATCGTCTCCATATCCCCGACGAATGTCCTCAGCATCAGATATGGGTCCGTAATGTCGTTCAGCCGGTTGAACAGTCCCACGTACACTTGTTCGGTGTGCTTGAGGCACGACTACAGCTGATCAATGTAGCTCCGATACTTCGTAAGCAGTGTCTCAAAGTCATTGAGCTTCGTCCCGTTGTCGAACTCCGAAAAGGTCTGCGTCAGTGCCCACACCCTTTCGCGCTACGTCTTCAAGCCCTTGCGCTGGACGAAAACGCAATCGTAGGGCGTATTGTCTTGGGGGGAGCAAAGGTGCACCTTGCGCCACCTTGATGCAAGCTCACAGAGAGAGAAATACCGCTCCTACCAGCGGAGTGGTACAGCCTCTCCACAATCCATCACCGCGGTGCCGGCAACGTTGGCCTTCTCACACGTCGTCAGCGGCCTTGTCTCCAAATCACCCCGCAGAGAAGTAAACGAAAAAGTGAATAGCGCAAAGCGGCCTCATTTTTTTTTTCTCAACGCCGAGTACAATTGGCATCCAAAAGAAACACAAGCAGAAAAACATTCAGAAAGCGTAGCTGAGCGAATGGGTGAGACACACACACAAAAAGGACAAGAATGGGGGCTGAAAGAGGTGCCGGTAGAAGCACACAAACTTCTTGCAGCGAAAAAGCTCATGAAGAGATAAAGAGGAAGGGGGAAAAAAAAACAGCTATCCAACTGCCTTTCAAGCCACCACACCACGACAATCCTGCCTCATTTTCACCGTAACACGCGCGGAACAAACGTCGTGGCCGTGGGTGGCCGTACAGCAGCGGTGCCCGCAGGGGATTTGCTGCGCGCAGACGACGCGCGTTTTGCGGCGTCACGCATTTCTAGCTTCCTTCGCTCCCCGGACACCGTGATACCCTCCTTCGCCACCTCCACGAACAATGGGTGGCCCTTGTACGCCGTGCTGTGCAGCCCCGTCAGTTTCCCCACAAATGCCTTCGCCGCCTCCCCGCCCTCCGTGCACTCCAACAGAAAGTACGGCTTTCGTGACGTCTTCACAAAGATACACTCAACAGGGGCATCCGGACGGAGAATCATGGTGGGCTCCGTCCCGGAGCCATCATCACCTGCAACGTACCATGACTGGATACCTAGAGCTTCCCGGTGATCACGCAAAACTCCATTCATCAGTTCGCCGCGGCTATGAATCTGCGTAGATCTAATAAAGAGCGTAACCCTTTCGTGGAGCTCCCTCGCAGCCTGCTCCGCATGCGTTTTTATGTCGTCTTCGTGGCGTGCAACCTTCGCGGGAGGTTCCTCCGAGGAGGCTCCTTCCTCCACGTTGGATGTTGGATGCATTCGTTTCATCTTTATTTATTCGTTGTTGTTTTTTATTCCAACAGTGATGACGTGGAAGGTTAAAAAAAAACAGTTGGCACCAACCCTTCTTTAGCCTACGCCCTTGTTATTTTCCTTCTGTTTTCTGCCTTACTTATGGGCGGAGGTGGCACGAAAAAAATAGAACAACAAGGTAGAACGCCCTACAGACGCCAGTGTTCAGCTGCGTTGGGTCGTTGACGGCGACAGCAACAGCAGTAACGTGGGGAATCAAACACGGCCGCAGGATCAAGCGCTCAACAGTTTTTCCATCTCCTTGTAACGTCTCCGCAGCTCGGCAAACCTCCAACCAAAATCAAAGTCCAAGTAGCGCTTGTCCTTTAACTCTTGCACTCAAGCCTCATCCTCGTCCAGCTGGGGCAACAACGACCAATCCCGCAGAGGATGGAGTCCTTTAACCCGCTTGGCAGTGTCAAAGGCGCCAATCTCCTCCTTTTCTAGATACTTGTCATCCACTGTTACGCGCACCCCGCCAATCTGTTTCGCGTACAATATGTTTAGAATCTGTGTGGAGCGGTACGGCATAAGGTCACCTAGCGGCGTAGTCACAGGACGAAACCCCCCAACCGAATTCAAAATAGAGCGCCGAAATACAATGCCAAAGCGCTGCTCCTCCACAGGAAGAACCATGTGAAAATAGACATACCGAGCCAGTCCGCTCATGATGTAGAGACTACCATCGGCCACTACAGTATCCAACTCCTCCCCATTTTGAGCGTGCACAAAGCGTAGCAAGGCATTTGCGCCAAGAGAAACCATTGCAAAAATGTTATCGTAGACGAAAAGATTATCGATATGTGCGCGGATGAAGTCCCCGTGCTCGTAAAGGTTTGCAGTTTGGTTGTTTAACCATACAGCTGGCACAATTCCATTCCTGTTCTATATGACTTATTAAAGACAAAAAAGAACGCGGCGGCAGCGGCGGCAGCTGAAACCGGACATCACTGAGTCTGATGGATGCAGATCGATGGGTGTAAATGTCAACGTAGCCACTTCGTAGTGTCATTTTCTCGCCCAACTGGACGTACTCTGGGAAGATGGTGAGCCCAAAGTCCTCCCCAAACGGTTGGTACGGTTCACCCGCCGCCAAAATAGTCAAGACTACCACCGTTCAGGAGATGCTCCGCCCCATTCCATAAATGTTTTATAAAGCTTCTCTCCAAATGCTTGTAGACAACCCACAGGAGATGAATAAAAATAATAATGGAAAATGAAAAAAGGTAACAAAAAAAAACGGAAAGTGCAAATGGGAAATATTTTCTTTTAAAAAAAGGACAAACAAAATAAAATACACCGACATCACTTGCATCATCGCCAAGCATCAATTCAAAGCAATAAAGAATTAGCTGTTTCGCATATTTACTTGCCCAAACACAAGTCTCCGACGCTTCATTGTTGCTGTTTCACCCTCCACAGAGTTATTGTACTGTGCAATACAAACCTCCAGTCCCAACCTACATTTTCGACTACGAGTCATTCGTTCTAAAACATAATCCGGCTCACAAGGTAAACGCGCATTACTAGGAGGAATAACTAGCTCCACCACTGTATATTTATGACGGGGAACTAACTTCACTCCACCGCATACGTCTTCAGGAATTAAACAACCCAACGTCTCGTCTAATAGAAGCCTTCCTTTACCAAACATAACCGTAGGATATACACAGTGATGATCGAGAAGCATGTAACGCCCATGAATTTCAACAGGGCAGTACTGGGCAATAGCTAACACTTTTTCCATTAAAAGCATATGACGTTTTAAAGCGCAGTGTTCCAAGATACAGTCTTTTGAGATCACTTCAATTATATCTAGCCCTTTGGCATTCGTACACAATGAACACCAAAGAATTCCAGACGTATCCTCATAACGTATTCCTTGATTTCTAAATTGCTCAGCTAATACCTTCCCTGACGTCATCAGTGCCTTTAAAATGGAAAAAAAATCGCCCCCATAAACAACAATACCCGAGCGCACAGAGCAAACAGAACATATAAACCAGTTGTGAATTCATCTATCACGCAACAGATATATAAACAAAGGCTCACCCATCGTTTAATCAACTCGCCGCTCAGCTCATAAACTGAAATAGATACTAATTCTCCTTTACTGCATCATAATGATGGCCTGACCCGTCGTAATGCTTCGGTAAAATGGCGAGACTCAAGCGGGGGCAAAACACCATCTTTGCTAATTTCGTGCACAGGCATCAATGCTGCAGCTTTACATAATTCAGTCAAATCCGAACCAGTGTAATTACTTGTCTTTGTAGCAACAAACGCAATTATCTCGTTCTTATTGGGATTATCCCCCAAATCATGTTCCAGAAGAATATTCAGGATTTTGTGACGAGCTGCCTCATCGGGAGGTGGCACCTCCACTTGAAGAGGCAGTCGACGCCGTATGGCTTCATCAATAAACTTAGGTCTGTTTGTTGCTCCAATAACAATAATTTTGGCGTCGCTTTGAGTAATTCCATCCCAACATGTCATAAATATTGTTTTGGCGTGGTTGTGAGGAGGAGAATCAATAGTGTTCCGCGATCCAAGAAGCGCGTCGACTTCATCAATAAAAATAACGCAGGGTGAAATTTTCTCTGCAAGAGAAAAAACAGCTGCAGCATTTTTCTCCGTGTCACCAACCCACTTGGAAAAAAGAGAGTCCGTTTTCACATTTATAAAACTGCAACCAAGCTCCTTTGCCATGGCACGTGCCAAGAGTGTTTTTCCTGTTCCAGGAGGACCATAAAGCAAAACACCTTTGGGATGGGATCTCAATGTTTTCCCAGAAAACAATTCTGGACGCGTAAATGGCCATTTTACATGCTCAATTAATAACAATTTAGCGTCTTCTAAGCCCCCAATATTAGAAAAATCCTCCTTAATTGTGGCAGGGTCAATAATACATTCAGCAATAGCCTCTTCAGCACGATCCACATACACGGACTGGCCTCTAATATTGAGCTTCTTCTTACTGTGGCCGTACTGATATGTAAGCTTGCGGGTCATATACAATAATACAGATATGTATATCCAAAAGAAAATCGGGGTTTCCCGAAGTTTCTTCACCACCTCGCTCACTAGAGACTTCAGGCAGTCTGTCACAGTCTTCATGTGAAAACTAGGCATCACGTTACTACCACCTCAAATGCAAGATACACAGGATATATGCGTGTATTCATATATTTTAGCATATATAACGGAAAAAGAAAAGGCAATAAAACAATAA